CACCTTGTCTCTACGAGCCGCAGCTGCAGGGCCAGCAGTTTCCCACCCTCCATCCACACCCTCTGTCCAGACCGGGCGGACGGATCGCAGCCAAGGCGAGCGGTGCCTGTTCACAGGGCCTCATCCGCCACAGGGGGTGCGGAGGTCCCGATTATTGCCCCGGGGCTCAGCCTCCATCAACTCAACCCCAACCACGCTCTCTCTGCTTCTAAGGACAGGGTCCGCGCCTTTCTTGTGCACCCCCATGCTCTCAGCGGGTAGGGGACAGGGCCCTGCCCCTGCGTGGATAGCTCTGTACAACGCCCTAAGCCACAGAAAAGGGGCCTGAAATGGTATTACATAGATTTGCTACCCTCGGTTGTGGTTTATACAGGCTCACCTCGGTCTGTTTCCCCGGGTTAGATTCTGCCACGGCTAACGGACATCTCCTTACCTTACGCTGCGAGGCCTGGTAGCTTCCAAGAACCTTTCCCAGCCCACCGCTGTTAGGGCACAGGGCTGCAGCGCTAACGACATTTTGTTCCAACTGTTTATTCAGACATGTGAATTAAACCAGTGTACCATTTTAAGAGCAAGCTGGAACTAATTCTGAATTAAAAAAAAAAAAAAAAGCCTAAAAAGCAGCTCTTACTTTCCCTCCCTATAGAAAGCACTGCCAAGTAACAGTTTGCAAAGCATTTCATTCCTCTTCTCCTCGAAGTTTGTGGCCGGATTCATGCCAGCATCACCACAGCTGGCTGCAGATCAACCGTTCGGGTGAGCTCACCTGCTTCTCCTTCAGGGTTCTTACTCTTCTTTGAAGCTCAGCTTGTTCTTCACCTTCCGGGCCATGTAAGCAGCTGTGAGGACAGAGCAGGTCACAGTGAAGAGGCACAGGGCAGAGAAGTTGTGCGCCAAATCACCCTGAAGAGTGGAATAGATCTGTCGCCTGGACTCATAGTCCAACACCACCGCCTCGATCTGCGCCAGCGTGCAGAGGACCAGGCACACGTGAAAAATCTGATGGCTCTGCCCGAAGAAGTGACATTTCCCGGGGAACCACTTCTCGGGGTAAGGGTGGGAGAAAAAAAAGGCGCCAATGAGGAAAAACAGCACCTGGCATTTGTGATACAGAAGGGCCGGGTCAGCCTGCTCGGAGGGAGGCGCGGTGAAGATGCGGTGGACCACGGGGCTGATGTCCAGCATGTAGGCCAGGCCAGAGGGCAGCTCCTGGCAGAGCCGGCTCAGGAGGCGAGCGGACTGGTGGTACCGGTACTTGGCGTAGCAGGAACCAGCGCAGGACAGCCACGCTAACAGGACGGCCGCCGGCATGTAAAACCCCTTGATCTTCTCGTGCCAGCTTGGCTCAATGGCGTAGTAGTAGTGCCCCAGAGCGCTGCCGTACTGGTAAATGGCAACCCCCACGTAGTCCATGAAGAAGAAGCTGTAGTGCCAGAACTCAGATTTGGCCTGCAGAAGGTGAGCAAGGGTGCTGAACGTCAGGTAGGTGATGGATGCCACGATGATGATGAGGAGGGGTTGGGCGTGCAGGGCCTGCCCAAAATCCACCCGCCGCGAGAGCTGCTGGAACCGCAGCAGCAGGATCAACGTGGCCACCAGATGGGTCCAGACAT